CAAATCACTATCTTAAATAAACAAACAAAACGGATACCATTTCCAACAGAAGAGCATACTAATCTGGTGGAGTGCTTTGGGACAACCTGATCTTTTAAATCAGATGTTTTGGTTATATGTATATCAAATTTGCATAGTTTTATTAAAACATGATTGTACTGATATTAATCAGCAATTGCTCTAGAGTGCTTTCTAGCTGAAAGGGATCACAGCAACATAGGGCATTACATTGAAACTGAAACTAATCTGACTCAAACTGATCACGCACCTGTCTTTTCTTGATGGTTAAAGAAAATTTTGCACACAGTATATGTATATTGAAGAGTAACTACATTCAATTTTTGGAAAGAAAGTTACTGACATGTAGTTTTATTATTTAACAAAGACTCCTTCCCAGGTTTTGATTGGTCTCAGTGATAATCACAGAATCCTTCAAACTTGTATGTCTCCCCTGACTTTAATTCATGACAAATCATAGTCTTGTCTATTCTTTTTTTAATGGTTCATTTCAAAATACCCATCTGAGCAGTAACTGAAAGTATGGGTAACATTTACAGTTTAATTAGCCCTTAATTTTTATTAACATAAAAAAGAGGAATTAAAAGCCAGGCTGGTATTCATTATGCTCCCTAAAATTCGGTCATCCCTATGGTGCAATTTCAGATGCTCCTTGAATTAACATAGGGTTATAGCCCAATAGACTCACAAAAAATTTGAAAAAATCGTAAGTTGAAAATGCTGAACGTGTAACTTGTAACGTGTACCTTGCCCACACCGCAGAGTACTGGTATTTCCCCCTGTGATAATGTATGTGGCTGACTGGGATCTGCGGCTGGCTACCACTCCCCGGCATCACAAGAGAGCGCTGTACTACATGTTGCTACCTTGAGAAAAGGTTGAAATTCAAAAATACGAAGCCCAGTTTCTACTGAAGGAGCATTGCCTTTGCATCGTCATAAAGCTGAATAATCGTGTTGAACCACTGCAAATTGGGAACCATCGCTACATTTGAACTCCTTTCTGCTTATCCGGACTGGCTACCATTGATCACTTCCTGGTACCTTCCCCTGAGCCATCTTCTGAAAAGCCCACTTTCATTATACCCACGCCATGTTCGAAGTCTTTCACAGTTTGCCCTGCTTCCCTGGAGAAAATCCAAACTTACCATGAGTACTGGATCTAGGACTCTGCCCCTTGGCCACTCTCAGTCCTTCCATTTTTATCACAGGCAGATTCCCCAAATTCCAGTCAAACTTCCCTGTGTGAGACCTGCCCATTGCCACGCCTTGCTCATTCACAGTGCCTTCTGGTGTTTCTTGGCCATTCGCATTCATCTGTCTGCCATGATCCAACTCAGGGTGCACCTCCTTCATGGCTATGTCTCCTAAGCAACCGTTAATGCCTTGTCCTTCTCTGCGATTCAGTGATCTCTCCACTTAATATCAGCATCCACTATTTTGAATCCTTGTTATTAAACAATATTCAATACTATTTACTTTTGATTTATTACAGAATATATTTAGTCTATTTCCAAAATGATGGTGGGAAGGCTTACAGTGAAGACCTAATAAAACAGTATGCCAGTTAAAAAAGAAAGTGAAATACAAAATCACACGTGGGAGCAAGTAATGAAAGATTAATAATTAATTATTTAATTAATAATTTAAAATCTAGCTGTGAGTTTTCTGGCAGTCAAGGCAAAATAAAGGAACCATTAGTTGTCTGGCCATGACTTACCATTATGGTTTTGAGTGTGTGTGTGTGCATGTGTGTGTGTGTGTGTATGTGTGTGTGTTTGTGGTGTGTGCATGTGTGACTTTTATCTGCATGCATCTTGTCTTACTAACTTTGACTTTTGTAATTGCAGGATTTATTTTAGGAGCTTACCTAGTAAAGCATCTAGTCTAGCATATTGTAACAGTTTGAAATTGATTTATGACTAGCATGATAACAGAATCATAAATCTGAGGGCATTTTCTTTATGTAGAAAATCCAAATAAGCATATAATCAATATATGAATGAAACATGAGCATAAGATAGAAAATTTTCAGAAAAATAAAGGGTCTGAGTTCATTACCACTTAACTTACAGGAAATTATGAAAGCATTCACAGCATAATATTTTAGGGTTAAAAAATGTGTAGTGGAGTTGGGCATGGTGGTGCATGCCTGTAATCCCAGCACTTGGGAGGGTGAGGCAGGAGGATTACTGTGAGTTCGAAACCAGCTTGGGCTATATAGTGAGTTCCAGGTCAGTTTCAACTACATAGTGAGACCCTGTCTTAATGTCCCCCCCCCAAAAAAATTATACAGTGTAGAAGAGCAAACTTTTACAGGATAAAAAATGAATTTCATTGGAAATAAATTGTATATTTCATATCATTATCATGAATGGAATAGGTAATTTTCCACCTTCTTGATATATAAACAACATTTCCGATGTTATTTTTTCCTCCTACATAGCTGTTTCATGGGACTGAAAGGACTTTTACAGATACACTATATTGTTCTCCATATTTTATACCAAAGTTTCATTTCTTTATCTAGAATTTTTTTTAAAACTTGGAGATATTTTTTAAAGAAGCACTGTAGTTAGGCATTGTCCAACAGAGATTTTTACGGTGATGGAGATGTTCTACATCTGTGTTGCCCTTCTGATACAGAAATGTTCTGCATCTGTGGCATGATCTTTACTAGTAGAGCACTTAAAATGTGACTCGTGTGATCAAGAAACTGAATTTAAAATTTTACTCACAATTAATTACATGGAATTTAAATTGAAATAGCCGTACATAGCTGGTGACTACAATATGGGACATGACAACTTTTACAAGTCCCTGTACTTGTAAGACAGACCTTTCCTTACTTGATTGGCACTGTTAGTGGTAGCCTCTCTTTTGACCCTGTCACTGTATTATTGGGTGATATTATAAGTTACCATGCATTCACGGTAAAGGTTTCAGCATTTTTATTTTAAGAAGTTTATGTTAAAAGTACAATTCAAGAAAGTTTGTTATTTATTGTCATGGTGCCAGGGAGAGGATCATGCTCTTTCTATCATGACATTGTGCTTGGGCTGAACAATAAAACTTTATTAGGCCCATTTCCACCAAGCCTATGGTGACCTAGCACAGTCCGTGAAAAATCTGCACGGATAGCCTGGGTCTGTCTCTCCAAGCATCTGAGGAAGTGGTCCTGCCAAATTCTTCTCGAGGTAAATTTTTCTTGTTTGACTTTCTTGATTTGCTCACAGTACTAGGAGCAAGTGGGTATGGATTGGTTTCCTTAGGCCAGCAGGGGCTTGTTTTCACCTTTCTTTTAATTTCTTTAATTTGAGGATCCCCATACTTGCTCTTTGAAATGCTATTTTGTAAACTGCTATTTCCTCTAAGCCTGTCATGATTTTTTTCCATCTGTGTTGAAGTCTCTTTTCCCAGTGGGTCCTTTCTGTCTGAACTTAGTCATGCTGTGTGTGGAGACCCACATCCACACTGCTGGCCTGTCTGACTCATCGGGGAGCTTCCTTAGCTCCAGGGAATCCTGCTCACAGCAGTGCAGTGGAACAACAGAGAGCATCCAGTGCCGGGAGCCCTTTCTCAAATCCACCACTTTTCCTGGCAACTCTCCTTGCTCCAAACCACACCAGAAGGGAGAAGGGAAAAAAAGGATTTTTTTTTAAACAAAATGCTCTTCTCTCTTTAAGGTAGTGTTTTGGCAAATAGTTTTTGTAGCAATTCTAACTTCTAGTTTGTAAGGTACTTTTGTTGTTGCTGTTGCTTTTAAATATTCCATAATCTGGCTAATAGAAAATCCTGCAAAAGTTCTGATTTTCCTTTTCCTCCACCAGCAAGCCAAGAAAGTTAATTCAGACAGCTACGCTTTCCTTCCAGTCGCAGATGAAATTGTTCTCCCTTTTGAAATATATAATTCATAAATGTGAACAGTCTCTACACCACAACTCTCCCATCCAGAGATAGCAAGCAGGTGGGTGGAGTTCGCTCGTCCACCTTGCTGGCTCCTCTGGGCTTGGTCAGAATCACATTCTTCACACTCTAACCCTGGAGAACAGGATTTTCCTTGGCCCGCCTGGCCCCCCAAGGAGAACCCTCTGCCAAGCATGGCTCAAGTCCACAATTTCCCAATCCAGATGGGTTCTGATAGTACACTCTCTGGCCAGAAATGCTAACGGGGTCAAAGTTAAATAACATGATCATTAAAAAAGAAAATCTTGACCACTGTGTTAGACCTAAGTTTGGCCAATAATCTAGGCAACTGATTTATTTTTACTACCACCAAGCACATTCTGAAAGTATGAAAAAGAACTCAGGTTGGCTGACCTAGACAGTCGCTATAGGAGCAGCTTTCCACACCTAACTAGCAGAATCTACAGAATAAATGAAGAGGTGCCCATTATTTCTGGTTTTGTAAATTGGCTTAGCTGTGCACAAGGGCCACATTTTTTCCGGTTAAATCTTGTATAAATATAATTTTGCCATTAGTTCTAAACATTTGTACAGGTGTTTGTTTATTTGTTTTTGTTAAGAGAATCATGTCAGATTATTTTAGCTGGAGAAACATGCTCATTGTATGTTTCGGCTCACACCCCTGCCTCAAGATCTTACACAACCATTTCATTGCCTTAATCCCATGTGCAAAGGGACTGTCACTAGGCTTTCCATTTGGGAATGGAGCAACCAATCTCCTCCCACATATTCTGGGGTCACCTGTGGCTGAGTTCAGAAGGTACATTCGCCAGGAGAAAATCGTAGTCCTAGGGAACTCCTACGAAAGGCTCTTTAGCTAACTGCCAGCTGAATTAAGCAGCGGGGATGGGGGAGGTGACATTTTTGAGGATCAGGGAGTCCCCACGCACTAAGCCCAGAAGAAGGCGCGTGTGAGGCAAAGCCATAAGGGCCCCAAGTGCAGGCCAGGGCCGGGCTGTGTGGCCCTGGCTTGGCCCTCCCAGGAACGTCTCGTTCTCGCCAGCAGCTTCTCCTTACCTTGACCACGTCGTCGTTTAGATGCTTAGGGTCGCGGTTGACCAGGTCGATCTCTTTGGTATGCGCGTCATACACTTGCTTCTCGATCACTTCGTCTGCCATGGCCTTGTTGTTGGGCTTGTAGATGTTGCCCTGCTCCCGGATGGGAACAGTGTAAAGATGTCCCTGAGGAGAGCAGCCGGCAGGAAAGGGCCGGTGGCAACGGCAGTGGGAAGAAAAGTTCAAAAGGAAAAACGAGCGTCAGAAGTCAGCCTTGCAGCTGGGGAAACCTCGCGCTCGAAATCTAACGGTGTCCACGGCGATGGCTTCGCGCACAGAAAACTGCGCGCCTCCAGCTTTTTAAGCAGATCGAGGAGTGCTGTGACCTCCTGACCCACGAAACGTCCCTTCCCCATTTTCGTTACTTCCCAGCCCCGTCACCCTCGCACCCACAGAGCCCCTACTTTTCCTCTACTCCACTTGGCCCCACCATAGCTGGCCCCTCCCCCCCCCTCCACCTCCCCCCGTCCCCATATCCCTTCCAGTTTAATCCTTAAGATGTAGCTGTGACCTCCTGACCCACGAAACGTCCCTTCCCCATTTTCGTTACTTCCCAGCCCCGTCACCCTCGCACCCACAGAGCCCCTACTTTTCCTCTACTCCACTTGGCCCCACCATAGCTGGCCCCTACCCCTCGCCGTGATGGTCACCACCCCGCATACTCCCACCTCTGAGCAGAGAGCCCTGTTCCAGACCCCCTGAATGACCTGTAACTGCGTCTCACCTGCAGGACTCCCCCGACCCACGCTCAGGCCACTCCCAGGCTACGGCGGGCGGCTGAGCCGTGCCTGAGAAAGGGAAACCGGGTCTCCAGAGCCGTTGGAGTGTGAGTGCAGGAGGTGGCCGCTAGTGATGGTGGTAGTTGGGGGAGGGGAGGCCCCCACCCAGCCCGCCTTTGGAGCATCCGAGATGGATGCAGGGAGAGTTGTAGAGGTGTCCCCAGAACTTTGGAGAAGTGCAAACACCCCGCGCGCGCCGGTCGGGACTGTCCTTAGGACTTGGGGGGAAGTCCGGGGGGGGGGGGGTCATCGGTCCGGCAGCTCCCATCCCAGAACCCCGATCCCTGCTCTCCGTGGTCTGGAGCTCAGAGGCTCCCTTGGTACCCCTCCCCAACTGAAGAACACAGAACATTCCTGGTTTCTCTTCTCCTCCCCGCCCAGGCCCATTCCTCGGTGCCAGTGGAGAGGAGTGCCCTGAAGTGGAGAGAGGGCTGGGGCAGGGAAAGCAGCC